TTAATAATCTAAGGAATAATTACTGTCATACTTTGACACAAATGATATACAATCTTATCTAAGTGCCTAAAAGTATGCAATACTTTTACACGATGATATGAGTTTGAAGGAATTTAGTTGGATGCAAACCGGTTTCGGGTTGCCTCGTTTTCAGTACCATTTTTGTCCAGATTTACACCACATTTTTAGTAGCTAACTTCTCGGTACCAGGATGTTGAAGGTTCCGCATTGAAATGCAGATTTTCATGAGCGCCCATCCACGGTTGCTCACTTATGTTACGCATTTTCACATAAAATTGTAACGACTATCCTTGATTTCCCTAAATCTTTTGAGTTCGTATCGCTGGATTATTAAATAAACACTTAGGATTTCCAAATTACGGTACAGTTAATTTTATTGTACAACAAACTTTTTACAATACTGGTTAAAACAATTACATCGCTTTACAAAGCTTGCTGACACAATTGATCTCTGTTTTCCAACTTGCTTATTTGCAACTGAACTTGTGTTGCGCTATAGCAGCGGCGTTATATACCTGTGCTCGCACTCAAGGCAACTCTAGAACGTTCGGACATCTATCGCACATTCTCTCATTCTCTCGCTGTTCGCAGTATTCCTCCACTTAACGTTTCTGATATTCTGCTGAGTATAAGGCCTTATGTTGTACAAAAGGGGGAGTATAAGGTGCTCAGTGGAGGAAGTTAGCCTAAGTTACATTAGATATGGAATAAATTAACCCCAAGTAAAGATTAAGATTTAAATACTAAATATTAAAATTAAAGTAATAGATGTTTAAAATTAACAATAAAATACTTCCCTTCCGAATAGTCCTTGGACGCTCCAAGTTTGGGGTTTCGACATATCTTCCACAGACATGGGCCCCTGTTATGGTCTCTTTTCAGTTGACTGGAGCCATTGAAAAAATCGGAAATTTAATACAAATTTTGGAATTTTAATAATACTATTTATGTAGTTTTAATTGTCGGCCGCTGTGGTGTAGTGGCGCGCTTCCGCTCCGCAACGCTTGGGTTCAAGCCCTGCTCAAAGCAACATCGGAAAAAATATAGAAAAAAGGTTTTTTCTTAACAGCGGTCGTCCCTCGGCAGGCAATGGCAAACCTCCGAGTGTATTTCTGCCATGAAAAACAGCTTCTCATAAAAATACAATCGCCGTTCGGAGTCGGCGTAAAACTCCGCTCCGTGTGACAACACAGGCGCACGCCACAAATCGGAGCAGAAGCTCGGCCAAACACTAACATATGTGTAAGCGCCAATCTATTATTATTATTTTGTAGTTTTAATCATATAAACATAATTAAAAGCAAAGAAATGGAAATCAGTTAGGAATTATGTTTTACCGATGAGCCCGATGATGCCAGACAACTACGTTTTCAAAGTTGAGTTGAGTTGTGTGCCACAATACCAATTTACAACTTACAACTTAACTATATTAAAAGTTGTGAATCAGGGCCATAACTTCTACCGAACCGTGACATAAGTTCCATGGAAGTTTGGAAGTTATGTCGTGCAATTACTACCATCGATCGTCTTTTGGTCCATGGAAATAGAGTCTGACATTACTTCCACAGATCTGATTCATGGAACTTATGTCAGACATAAGTTCCATAACAATTGTACATTAAATGAGCTACTCACTGCACAAGTTGATGAACTCTACTTTTTAAAAAATCTTAAATTTTAGTGTCAAAGCTGCAATACCAGCGCTCAATGCTTCGATGAGATGAGATTATTTTGTTTACCGCTTCTTCCATGAGATAAAATAATGGATGGATATACGATTTTATTAGCACAAGCGATCAATTTCAATTGTTTTACATTAACATACCCAATGTTTGAATAATTTCGAAGCTGTTCTTTAAAGCCGGTGAGTGGAACTCGTTATTATTATTTTTAGAAAATTTTGAATGAACTGTCGGTTTTCAGTTTGAAAATATGAACTTCAGCTTTCGCTTTACACACCTTGCTTACTTTAATTCGCCTTGATATATTTCAAAAACCCGTTTGGAGAAATGGCGGCTTGGAACGCTGTCATAGCAATCAGCTGTGTTAAAAAGTTAAGGTATGTTCCCTTACACTAAGAATAATTTTGCCACAAAATTCCAGAAAATTACAAAAAAAGAAATACAGAATCTTTTCGGATTTATTTTGAAATTAATGCGAATAAATTTGTGCATTTCAAAGGAATGATAGTAATTATACATACATATATAAATATATTTACATTTATTAAAAACAACAAACTAAACAAAAATTGATTTTTCAATAGACGACTGACCAGTAGCTTGACATCATAAATACCGATAGCTTTGTGTGAAAAGTTGCTAAGTTTACATTTTCTGAAACCTCATATTTTGATATAGAAAGCAAGATAAATTAAGGATAAAGGTACTTGTTTTATTTATTCTCGTTTATATTCAATGAAAGACAACTTTTCTAAGTCCAAAGAGGCTTCGAATATCCGATAAGGCCAAAATAATATGAAATCTTTTAACAAAGATCGAATCTTTCTCATTCCTACACGGTCAAAAATTTGGGTTTAATTTTTAAACTGTGCTGGGACTATTGTTTTTTTAACTTTTGTAGTCTACTTTTTAAACCAGTCAATAGTTTTAAGCCATTTTTAATATATTCTCGTTTAAATTTTAGTCCAGGCAGCCGAGAAAATGATGTTTTGCTATGGGTGGTTTAAAATTGAAACCAAAAAGTTCGTGGTTTATAAATCAAACCAAAATGTTTTAATTCTAGTTTCTAGGTTTCATATATAGAAAATTTGGTTAAAAATCCAAACCGAAATAGAAAATGTTTGCCTCAATAAGACTTATTTTATATGTCTCTCTNAATGACTCGCTTATATATAGACCAGTGCCCGCCAAACACTTTCCTGGGAAACGTACTACCCTGCAAAAAAATTGTGCGACTAATCTCTAAAGAGAGTATTCCGGGATGAGTCGCAATCGGGTACAATTGGGCATTAATTAGTCGCAACTAGTCTCATACGGGTATTATTGGAGATCAATTAGTCTCGACTCATCCCCTACGGGTACGATTGGAGGGTTTTTTAACGAAAGTTAATTTATTTAAAAGAATTTATCACAGTACGAAAAGTAAATTACCTGTTTAGTATGCAATTACTTTAATAATGACTAAATTTTTTATAAATAATTCTTGCCTAACAACATTGTAAATTTCCTACATGTGTTTTGCACTCGAATAAAGCAGTTCACAAAAACTGCAAATTTTTACAAAACAAAATGTATTTATTCAAAACTATTTATTCCAGAAGGATAAGTAATTGAATTACCTTTCTTTTAATATATATTAACATTAGTAATTACAAAACATATTTTGAAAAACAAGCCTTGGCTAACAGCTTTGTAGATTTCTGTACATGTACCCATAAGGGGTACTCAAAACTTGCAGATTTTTACAAAAAAAAAAATATTTATCCAAAAAAATGTATTACGTAAGGAAACGTAATTGAACAACCTTTCTTTTAATATATATTAACATTAATAATTACTAAACATGTTTTGAAAAACAAGCATTGGCTATCAACTTTGTACATTTTCGTACATGTACCTATAAGGCGTACTCAAAACTTGCAAATTTTTACAAAGAAAAATGGTTAATCCAAAATAATTTATTATAGAAGGAAAAGCAATTGAATTACCTTTCTTTTAATATATATTGTCATTAATAGTTACTAAACATGTTTTGAAAAACAAGCCTTGGCTAACAGCTTTGTAGATTTCTGTACATGTACCCAAACTTGCAAATTTTTACAAAAAAAAATTATTTATCCAAAAAAATGTATTACGTAAGGAAACGTAATTGAACAACCTTTCTTTAAATATATATTAACATTAATAATTACTAAACATGTTTTGAAAAACAAGCATTGGCTATCAAATTTGTACATTTTCGTACATGTACCTATAAGGCGTACTCAAAACTTGCAAATTTTTATAAAAAAAAAAGGTTAATCCAAACTAATTTATTATAGAAGGAAAAGCAATTGAATTACCTTTCTTTTAGTATATATTGTCATTAATAGTTACTAAACATGTTTTGAAAAACTAGCCTTGGCTAACAGCTTTGTAGATTTCTGTACATGTACCCATAAGGGGTACTCAAAACTTGCAAATTTTTACAAAAAAGAATTATTTATCCAAAAAAATGTATTACGTAAGGAAACATAATTAAACAACCTTTCTTTTAATATATATTTNCTTAATATTTGAATTAATTCTGTTTGAACATAAATTTTAATGATTTCTGTGTTCGCTGTAGTCGGGAGGCTGCCTTTCGAATAAGGTAGCATTTGCAGCGTACGATTGCGAATGACGCACTGATGCCGAGATATTGAAGAACCCTTGGCAAATAAACGTGAAAGAAATAGTTCTGATGCTAGCAATTTAATATTCTAGTTAAGTGTCATCAAAAAATTTCTTGTGGTTTAAGGAATAAACGGAATGCTACATTATACTAAAGCCAGCCTCTCGACATAAGCCACAATGTTTGCTCGTTCGGATAGCTCCTCACATGTATGTACAGTATATTTTGCTTAGCTGCACATCCTTCTTTGCACGAAAAACTTGTGCACGTAACCGAAAAAGGCACTTAAGCGAATTTTCTTTACTACTTCAATGAGGAAGGTATCCGAATCTCTATGAAACCAAATATTGGCGGAGCACTTACCATGTAGAAATTAATGCAAGCGAAATTTTTACCGAATGTTATCTAATTATCTATATAACTACATAAATTGATAGCCACTTTCGTTGTTCTGCGAGATGAGCAAAATAAATAAAAGGTTGTAAAATTAGGTAATTGTAGGGCCAGTGCAGGTAAACGTAATACTTTCATTGATAATTGATACTAGTCGCACAATTTTTAAGGCAGGTATCGCCAATGTGCAGGTATGTTGAATGCATCTATCGGAGCAGTTTCCTTATAAATGTTAAAAATAATGCTTTTGATGCGCATTTTGGGGTAGGTATCTTAAATGTGCACTTAAGCATAGAGGCAGCAAAGCAAAATATACTGTATATACGTATTAAACAAATATTGTATTGTTGCAAACTTCAGGAACAAAAAGCCACCTGAAAGGAAAGGGGTGAATGCAAAATGCAAACTTCAAAAACAAATTTGTAATTACTAGTTTACCATAATGTTTTGAGTGACTTCTAAGCAGATTCCATTTGACGTACATAGGTGCATCTGAAAGCATATGAAATATCTTATATGTATTCCGAGCTACATATGCATAGTGACGCTTCAAGCGGTAGTAATATTTCCAGGATTTACAGGACGTGGCGCAAGGCAATCGCTTTTCCTATAAAACATGCAAATCTTACTGTTGCTGGAATACACCCAATGAAGTCTTAAAATGAACCAGAAATTAGTTACTGACTTACTTTATTGTTTTTATCCAAGTTATCCAAGCACAATTAATCTGACAATTGGATCCAAAAGGCTTTGGGTACAAAAATCTGCCGGCAATTAGGAACAATTGGATTCACAAAGTTATCAGGAACTATTTATTGAATGAAACTTTTTACAGCGTACAAGAAATTTATAGACGATAATTTTGGCAATCGTTTCAACTTAATTCAATCTTTATTTAGTAGTTTCAACGATAATAGAAACCCAGAACAAATAAACATTCGCAATTTTCAGTTGTCAAAACTCTCAAGTTGTCAAAATTCTGCAGCGATGGTCAACTGCTTACTTAAATTATCGATTAATTAGAGAATAACTTTCGATCAAATATGCAATTGTTATTGATAAGGTGCCTTATAATCGAAATAACTTAAGACTAATAATTTATGCATAAAGTGTGTATTTTATTGAATTTTTTTTGCAGAAATAGTAAAAAATTAATCTTATGATTTATGAATGTATGGATAATTCCAAAATAAGACAGCGGCAACGCTGAGCGCTTGGAAAGTCAGATACTGATATTTCATTCAACATTTTTATAATTTTATACAAATTCGCCAAAAAACCCGTCACACGGCAACACTCGATTTGTTTGACAGCACTTGCAGCAACGATTAAAAAGTACTTTCTGGCTATTTACACGTGAAAGTAGACTTTCGAGTTTGCACTTTGACTGCAAATTTCGTAGAAATAGCGCTTGAATTGCCACTTTAACTGCTCCTTTATATTTGAGGTAGCGTTAACGATTTTTTTTTAGAGGAATTGACGCTCAAAATACTGTACTTTCGGTAATCGATAATCAACGTTAGAAATAGCGCTGATTAATTCGATGTTTCCACGCTTCGTAATTCGCTCTCTAAGGCCCAATTTCAGATGGCCTATTTAAGTAGAGATTAACTTCCATTACTCATTTTCAGATCATACATTTAATCTGCACTTAAATGGCCAATATTGGCTATTTAGATATGAGATATGCAACCCTGTGTTTGTACCACACAACCAAGATTGATTGGTAGGTTGTTTAATCAATCCCACCAAATCCCACCAAAAAACAATCAGCTGTTCAGCACAAAATGTAAACAAACAAGCGCATGCAACAACAATTTCAAGGAACAAGCAGCAGTGCTGCCAATTGTTTGGCATATTTACACAAAGTTGATCTGAAACCCAACGAAAGTTAAATGGCATTTAAACAACAATCCACAATTAAACTTAAATGCCATTTAAATATTCATTTGAAATTGGCCCTAAGTAATTCACTAAGTAATTCGTGAATTACCCTGTTTCCATGCCACACATTAGTAATTCGTTTGGCAGCTCTAGTTCTTGTTCTGCGCCATTTATTATTATTTTTGTGTACTGCAAATATCGAAGATGGAGCTTAAAATTAAGTTATCATCTACAATTTTTATTTATATAGCAAAGATTTATCTAAGTTGCACAATTATACACATAGTAAATCACATTTTAATTTATCGGGATAGTTGCAAAGCAATAAGAATTCTATCGATAAGCGTAATCGTTTCTTGATAGACTCTAGTTCTGACACAGCTGATTTAAATAAATTGCGCAGCAGAGTGGTGTTAAAAAACAAAACTTAAATTAAATTATTTAAAAACCAAAAATACAGCAAATAATAGCAGCAAGTAAGCAGCAAACAATATGAGTAAGGTAAGTAAATGCCACCTAAGACGATTAATTAGTAAAGAAAGGGCAAAAAACCGGCAGAGGTTGAGGTTAGGTACAACTGAGGCATGTGCGGCTGCGCAAGTTGCTAGATTTGCCGAAATTGAAGAAATGCCTCCGGATGAGCCAAGTTGCTCAACGGATTTACCTTTCCAAGAAAAACTTAAAATATGGGCAATTCGCAATCAAATATCTCGTAAATCCTTTTCCGAACTCTTGACGCTCCTTGCAAAAGAAGGTATGAATGTACCCAAAAGTGCCGAATCTCTTTTAAGACATAAATCTCAAGCTATAGTAAAAAATATGAGCCCGGGACTCTACTGCAATATCGGCATTAAAACGCAACTAGAAAAAATTGCTGACCAATTAATTAATCACAGCACAATAGTAGTAGATGTTAATATTGATGGGTTGCCATTATATCGTAGCTCAAGGATGCAGTTGTGGCCAATTTTATTATGTATTGTTAATGTGCCAAACACATCGGTTTTCGCTGCTGGTATTTATGTAGGACAATCCAAGCCAGATTCTATAACACAATTTTTAAGCGAATTTACCGAAGTTGCAGAACTTCTGGTTTCGAATGCAATGGTCGCTGCATTACGTTTCAGGTTAGGGCTTTTATTTGTGATGCGCTGGCGAAATCATTTCTCTGCGGAATACCTGGGCACACTTCTCGACATGGTTGTTCCAAATGTAATCAAGTGGGCAAAAAAATTGAAGGCGTACTAACCTATAGTACCAATGCGGGAACGCTTATATCCAACACTGATTTTTTGGAACGCAAATACCCTCATAGACATATCTCTGCTTTTAAGACCAATTTATCTCCTCTGGAAAAGATTAATATTAATATGATAACTCAGGTTCCTCTTGATGTCATGCATTTAATTGATTTAGGTGTCATGCGTAAGTTTCTTTTACGAGTAATCAACAATAAATCGAAAATCACTAAAGAGTTTGTACGAAAACCAAGAAGTTTGGATGAAATATCAAATTGGAAAGCTACCGAATTCCGCATGTTCCTATTCTATTTTGGAATATATGTCTTAAAAGATGAACTTCCCAATGATATTTATTATGAATTCCTGCTTCTGCATTGTGTTTGTCGGTTATTGTTCTGCCCTAAAAATTATATTACTAACATTGAGGTAGGCAGAGATATACTAATATTGTTTGTAAACAATTTTGCAGCTGTTTTTGGAGACAATAGAGTTTCGTACAACGTACATGGCTTCCTTCATATTTCAGAAGATATAAGAGAACTGGGCATACCTTCAACCTATTCAACCTACTCATTTGAAAACTATTTACAAATTTTAAAATCATACGTTAAAAAACCAACTCAAATTTTGCAACAAATTACAAATATGTTAAAACACGAAAAAATTGTGACACCTCCAAAATTTACTGGATATCAAATTAAAAATTATTGTATAAAAAATTTTCATTTTGACGATTTTTCTCTATCCAGTAAATTTCCCAATAATTACTGTTCTGTTAAACCATTTCAGTATATAGAAATACAAAACTTTAAAGACGTAAATAGTAAAATCATAAAAGGCAAGAAATTGTTAAATTTACAGAGCTTTTTCATAGAACCAATTGATTCTTCCACGTTAGGGATATGTACTGCAGACCTCAATCCGTCGTGCAATGAAGAGGAATTTTTACTAGATGATGTGGAGTACAAATTAATGTGCATCACATTAGCGGAGAAAATTCTGCTTATTCCGATTTTACATACCTGTATGTAATTAAACTGACTCTTTCTTTTTACTATAAGAATTTTTATATTTATCTATGAAAACCAAAATTAACTTTTTTTTCTTTTTGAGCTACTTTTCAAAAAATATGGAGCGCGAAATACCAGCACGGCGTCAATCCCAGTTAAAAAGGCAAATTGTGAGTATAAACTTTTCACTGCGAGTACATATATGTAGATACCGTTTAAAAACTAAAATTGTTCTACAAGTAGATGCGACTGACGAAAACAACCTCGAGCAATGTGGTTCAATGCGAGTCAGTTTATCCAGTGAATACACTATAGGTAATTAATTTTTTTTTAAATAGACATATGTACATGCATACATACAAATGCATTATACATTTCGTTTTATTTTTCAGAATCACGTAGGATAAGTGTGTCAACGTCAGCGATCGGACAGAAAATCGGTAATTTTTTTAATTCATAGGGACACTTCCGACTTCTTCCTTACATAAATTTAAACTTTCATTTATTTACATAATGAGAACCCCATTTCTGTTAAATCGGTTTCGAAAGAAGTCGGTTTATGGACCTAGTAATATATGTTCAATATAAGAATTACCTATTTATTGTATTTAAATCCACAATTTGCAGAGTCCAACCAAGATGTGTATGAAGTTGTGTGCTGCAGTCACTGCGAAATCTTCCAAAAACAACTAGAATCATTGAATGCCAAGGTCGACAAGCTTCAAAGGGTAGTGGAAACTCAGAACGCTGCAATTATGGATGCAATAGCTGGGCAGAACGTGGCTACTGAGCAACTGGTTCGCCAAGAATCACAGAAGGCACCAGTTGTAAAATACTTCCCGATATGTAACATATCAGAAATGCAGCAGTTGGAAAATAAGATAACAATAGAGATGTCTATGTATGTATATATTTTAAAACACATTAATTTTTTTTTTATTAATAACGGCGTTCACTTCTACCATTTTTTCAGGAAACTGCCATTTCTTCTATACTTCAATTTAACCTAAAAAATATAACACTGGCATAAGGAGTGATGTTATTAATGCAATAAATGTCGATGGATCGCATGGTAAAGTTGGACTCAAATCTTTTAAAAACTTTTACCACACGCTTACAGGTATTAAAGAATTTTTTTTTTTAACTCATAAACTGATTTAGTTAAATTTTATATTTAAACTTTCAGGAGCTATAGCGAAGTTGCCTTTGAAAGGATTGACGCCAGAAGAGTCTCTAAGGAAAGCCTTGCAATTTGAGAAATCAAAACATTTAAAAAATATATATAGACAAAAAACCAAAATGATACCTTAAATTAAGGGATTTTTAACTTATAACCTAAGACGAAATGGATAAATGAAATGGATTTTATTTTTAACTTATAACTTAAAACGAAATAGTTCAAATGAAATGAATTTAAAAATTTTACTTTTAAAAAAGTTATTGACAAACCAAAATGAATCTTTAAGTTAACGTATTTTTAACTTATAACTTAAAACGAAATGGTACAAATGAAATGAATTTAAACATTTTACATTTAAACAAATTATAGACAAAAAACCAAAAACCAAAATAAAACTATAAATTTACGCATTTTTAACTTATAATTTAAAACTAAATGGTACAAATGAAATTAATTTAAAAATTTTACTTTAATTTAAAAGTGCATGTGATTTTTTGAGTTTAAATTATAAATTAATGTACTAATCAAATGTGATAAGTTGTTTTTTTTCTTAAAACGAATTTAAGATGTGATCTCCTTTTAAAAACAGTTACTACTTATTAAATAAACTAATTTAAGTCCCACCTGTACCTTGTAAGATAGGATAAATAATTCTAAATTGAAGTGCCTTAGTTTTTAATTTAACTAAAAAATAATAATTTAAAAATTTTATTGAATCTCCCACTATTTTTGCTGAAAAAGGCTGTAAACAAGCGAATATGTACGAACCTAAATGAATTTTATCTGGTTTAAATTACAACTGTAAAGTAATGATTACTAAGTAATTCCAGTAGTGTAGTGTATTTTCAAAATAGCACCATTGATCTTGCCAGATTTAATTCATTTGTACCTAAGTAAGATAAACTATATTAGCATTAAAAATAATTAAACATTTATTTACTTAGACACAACAGAATTAATCCGGAAAAATAAATTGTGCTAATATTTTTATGCTATTTGTGATAATATATTACAAAAACCTTTGCAAATAAATGTTATAAAAAAAATTAATCAATAAAGACAATATAAATGAATTAAGAACTGAAATATGTAGCAAACTAAAAATAAATCAATGGCAATAAATAGTAAATAAAAAACTAAACTGTGTTTGTTATGTTTATGTGGAACAAAATTTTACTAAAGGTATTAAAAGCACAAACAACGACTAGTCTCATTCTGCCCCCTTTAGGGTAGAAAAGGCGACTAGTCCCGAAGGGCATCACTTTATACCCGTTCGGGTACAAAAGGGTACAATTAGTCTCTTCATAGGACATGCTCGAACAAAAGGATGCAAAGTGGCATTAGTCGCATGTTCCTTTGCGACTCATCCCGGACACATCCCGGACTCGTCGCATTTTTTGCAGGGAACATATGAAAGCACATTTACATGCATGGCTGTAGCTGAGTGTGCAAAGATGCTTAATACAATTGGTTGCTACCGAGGCTGTCCGGGTTTAATCCCCATCAGACGGAGCATGAAATTTAATATTATTGTTATTCTTAATTATGAAAAAGCTTTCGTGAAGTACAACGTGAAGCAAACGAAATAGAAAATGTTTGGGTTTAAAATTTAAACCGACCTGTTTAATCTGTGCTCTGTGTGTATTTGCAACTAAATTTAGTTTGGCCATGTATGTAGTCCAAAAAGTTTAAAAGTGAAAACGGAATTTGTAGCCGTGTATAGAGTTTTGCTTTGCTTTAAACACGCTAAATGTTGTATTTAAAGTTCCTGTAAAATCTGTAAAAATGGACTTAGCAACTTTTCCCTTTAAACCAGCGACATGTTAAATATAGATATGGAAACATATAACCATTTTTAAAAGTGTGCAGCAGTTTGTTTGAATTTATTTAAAACGGGAACATACCTTTTTGTCAAAAGCCTACAAAACGCTTTCAAATTAAACATTTGCCTATTTGAAACTTTGAGGCACTTAAATTAAGTGAAGCAAAGCTCCCATTTGGCCACCCCTCATAAGTTTTAGAATATTCCAAATGACTTTTGACAGTTCTCAAAGCGAAGCAAGCAAAGCAAGCCTGCATTTGGCCAGTACCTTCATGCTGCATTGGGAAAACGTTTACCTATTACCGGGAGTTTCTTTCGTTTTCGTTCGGTTCTAATCTCAGAAGGGGATGCTATTTCTACCCAACCTTTGCAAGTTATGAATGATGGTTATCAGCCACCGGTCAAGAAAACAAACTCTTCGAAGGGATTTTGAAATCGATAAGGCCTTGAAGGTATTTTTACAAGAGGTTTTAGGAAAGATAATCGGGAAAACTTAATTAGAAAATCATGAAGATGACGAATTGGACATTGAAATTGATGATGAATTGGATGATGACTTGATCGAGTTTTCTACATTCGAACGCAAAAACTTCTGACGAGCCTCAAGGGTTTCCGAATTCTGGAAATCTCAAAGTCTTTATAAATTATAAAATAACTCCGTGCGAAATTGTACTTATTCCCTGTAGTCATGTAATATTATGCGAATTCTGTGACATTCCTTCAAAAATTGACAATTGCCGTGAATGTCAAGCAAATATTCAAAGTGTTGTTGGAATGATATTATAACTTATCCTTACTATTCATATGAGCATTTCCGACGGTCGCGAAGTTCAAGAAACAAGGAAAAAATAATATTTTATTAATTCTTTTTCGATAGCATTTTGCTAGGTATATCTTTGGTTCACAAGGGATGATCTTTCGATTTTTATTTTCCAATATGTTAGCAATAAACTTGCGGTCGAGAACGTACGCATAATGACTGCAAATTGAACAATTCAAGGATCTGCAAGATGGATCAGAATATTCTAAAGCATTTAATTTAAAGCGGAATAAAGTAACTTCCTCCTAAGTAATTGCGCGTTGAAATATCCTTAATAGGTTTTTATTTATTGGGACGCGAACGTACGATTTTTTCATCATTTTTTATACCTTTCATGAACATGAAATGGTATTCAGCCTTATTGCTAGAGTCGCACAGTGCCGCCTAAGTGGGCATAAATCGAAAAATTCGTTGTCTGCAATGTGAACGTGTTTGATATTTTTGTAAAGGAAATTTATCCACTAAAAAGAATAAAACAGAAATTTCCCTATAAAATAAATGATATGCCGCCCGGAAGCCACTAAACTCAACAAATTGCTTGAAATAAAATTTTGGTTTGAAGTTTATTTCTATATATATAGTAGATAACTATAAGAATACAAAATTTTGGAAAAAGGTTAAAGACAGGGTGTCCCTACGGTATTCCAGAAAAATTTTTTTTTTAATAAAAATTTCAAAAATGGCCACTTTTAATGGAATGAATAAAAAATATATGTAAAAATAGGTTTTTTTATTACTTTATTTAATAGTACGGTTTTTTAGGTTCCAAAATAGAAGATAAAAAGCTGCTCATTTTTTCACTTTTAGAAATAATGCGTTTTTTGCTAATGCATAAAATAATTTTTTCACTTCTTGTCAGTGCCATCGGATACGCACGAATCGTTCGATTTTCAAAAACCAGGTGTCAGATTAAAAAGCTTGATCTGTAGATTTAAAATAACGGTTTATTTTTTTATAGAGTTGGCAACTGTTAAAAAATTTAATTCAAATTAATTAATAATTTTAATGAATTATTAAAATATTGGTATTGGTATACAAATATTTTGAAGAGGGTTCCCACCTGTGTGTAAAGTCAAATTTAGTTAAACTAAAATAATAATTCTGCCAAACCAATGGTTTACGACATCGTATTTGTTATTTTATTACAAATACATACTTCCTACTCTTCACATATTTCTTGGTAAATATGTCCAACTTTTTCTTGTGTCTGATATCCATATTGATATACATATTTCAGTTACCTTATTCCCTTAATTAAACTGAATTTGATTTTTTAAACATGTGGCAACATTTCTACGCTCGTTTAGAAGTAAAGCATTTTCAAAACCATTTCAATTGATACCCATATTGCAATATCTAATTCATTCAACTTATTAAATAATTTTAATAAAATCTGTAGCAGGTGGCAACCCGTTTCAAAGAAATAAAACTTTATTGCACATCTACAGGCCA